TTTTATAGTAACAAAAATATTTAGCCTTTAGCCTAGTTCAGTTAGACGACAGATACTTTTAAAAATGAAATGCTCAATGCAGCGTGCCGAATCCCTAATTTGAAAGTGAAAGTAAAACGCGCACGGCGCTTTTTCAAGCAATTTGAAAGCCAAGAAATCCAAGGAAAAGAGGGAAAACTCAAACAAACAATTGCTTGATGCCGAATTGCGGCAGTTGCCGCTAATTTGAAAGTGAAAGTAAAATTTGCACGGCGCTTTTACAAGCCGTTTGAAAGTAAAGAAAAGAGGGAAACTCAAATGAACTAACACCAAAATTTCACAAAATTTCCTCACCGTCACAACCCTAATTTAAAACTGAATTGAAAATTTGGAGAATTCGAAATTTTGGGCGGAGAATTTAAAATTTTGGCAGAACATCAAGAATTCTGAATTACTGACCTGACCGGGCACACAGAAAAAAAATTCTTATTGTTGAGCCCTGTCTCTTAGTTTCTGTCCTGATCATTGCCAATTATGTTGTCATGGCAGCATTTCTCTATTTATTATGAATTTTTTTAAAGAGTTCCTTATGCATCTGAAAGAAACCAGGTAATCATGGGTGGAGTTCAGACCAGACTAATCAGCCACAGATCATCTCCATCACTGCAGACAGACTGAGTTGAGGTCACTTTGTGTGTGTGTGTGCACACGTGCAGTCTATGAATCAGCTCCATATGTTACTGTAACATGATCTGATATGTCAGTGTAATTTTCAAATGACACTAGATGTGGATGAAAGTAAGATGAGGATATGATATCCATACATGAGATGTAAGCCACCTGATCCTCTGATTTCCAAAACCATGTTGCCATAAGACTTTACAACTTGTATGAAATACCAGTGTGCTTAGAGACTCAAATATTGTATATAACGTGTCTGTGTGTTTCAAGTAAAAGGCTCTATGGTAAAAACACTCAGGGATTAATTTTGTGGATTGCGATGTAAAAATATTGCATTATGAGATTATGCTGCCTTGGAGTTTTGGAGAATAATGACTTAATCAATAACTGATATGGTCATAATGAATCTGATATCACACACTGTATCTCTGTTACACCAGCCATATGGCTGCAGTGGTGTGATGAAGTGATACTTCACAGTGTCTCCGTGTGTTTTGTACTTCTGCTGTAGTTAGACTCTCGGCTGCTTTGCTCTGAGCTTTGTTTGTTCAGTTTTATTGGTCTGTTGCTTCCAGATGAAATTTTTTTTTTTGTGAAACAAGAAAGTGTGTTTTTGTTTGTTTGTTTGTTTTGCACATCAAAAACCTAAAGTAATCTGAACAGTGCAAGACATTATTGCAATTTAAAATATCTGTTTTCTATTTTAATAATTTAAAATGTCATTTATTCCTGTGATGACAAAGCTGAATTTTCAGCTTTTACTCCAGTCTTAAGTGAATTTGGGAATATATATACAGTGGGGCAAAAAAGTATTTAGTCAGCCACCAA